ATATATATATATATATATATATATATATATATATATATATATACATATATATATATATATATATATATATATATATATACATATATATACAGTAAAATCCCGTTAATGTATATATATATATATATATATATATATATATATATATATATATATATATATATATATATATATGAATATATATATATAAATATATATATATATATATATATATATATATATATTATATATATATATATATATACATATATATACAGTAAAATCCCGTTAATGTATATATATATATATATATATATATATATATATATATATATATATATATATATTAGGTATATTTGTATAAACATTTGAAGAATCATTTGACAACATTTTTTTATAATTTTATTATTTATTATTTAAACTGTTAACAGTTAATATCTTAAATATATCGTAACATAAAATCTTTTGCGTCTTTTTCGTAACTACACATTCCGGAATGCTTTTTCCGTAAGGAACTATTTCGTAAGTATTCTTACGAAATGATTTGTTTCGCAAGTTTTCTTTCGCAATGCTTTATTACGGAATTTTATTTATTTATATTTTCGTATAGCGCGTTACGGAATGTGCATTTTCGCATGTGCAACTTCCGTAATAACAATTCTATTACGGTAGATAAAGATGCGAAATTTTCGCAAGTTTTGTTTTTCGGCGAACAACCCTATTTATTTTATTAGCATATTCTTAATTTTTATATTTCTTCCTAGTGCTTGATTTAATTAATTGTTCATTAGATTTGTCAAAACAACTTGCATCAAAATGAAAAGAACACACTCGTGAATCATCAGAGATATATAACCCGATTTAACTCCATAGGGGCCCCTAGGTCCACCATAGTCGTGACCCATGCAGCCACGGCTCTGACAACTACAAAAAAACAAAATATTTTTTAATGTGAAGATTTTAGAAAATAAAATAACTAACTATAGTTAGCTATTTTAGTAAAATTCAATAGTAAAATCTTTAAAGAATTTCTAGAATGTTTCCAATGACGTCATGTACTAAAACTCCTATAAATTAAACGCATTTGAATAAATTGTCAAGTCTGTATAATATGCCTGGAAAAACGCGTTTATTTTAAAGACTCCAAATACCGCAGAAAATGGAGAAGACAAGCTTTGACTAAAACAACAAGATTTGTTTTAGTATACATTTAGTAGTTTACGCATACATTTAGTATACATATACATTTAGTATACGTTTAGTAGTTTTAGTATACATTGTTTAGTATACATTTATTAATTAGTTTTAATCAAAAAAAATTTGCTCAGACATTTTTTTTTAACATTCTCTTTAATATGAACACAACATGTCTTGGGACTTGGTGGTCCCTTTAAGGGATTTTCTTGGCAACTTGCTTGTTAAATTCACCTCTTAATGTTTGCAAATTCTTTGCAATTCTTTGCAATGCCTTGCGACATAACAAATATTATATAAAAAGTTAGTAATAAATAAAGTAGAATCTAAAAAATTAACAAATTTGTTTGATGTAACACCCGCAAATGTTTTTTTTTTAAAGTTTTGCCTGTTTTGGCTGAAAATTTGAATAACTTATTAAATCTTACTGTAAACTCTACTTCAAGTAGTATACGTGCTTCATCAACAAAGTTTATTCAGGCGATCACGGAAAATATAATCTTTTTTTACTTCAGTTAAAAGTTTGCATCATTTAAACTATAATCTTTTTTTACTTATCGGCATCAACTAAAATTTTTTTTTACAAATATATTCAAATCTTTTCTTGACAAATATTTTTAAAAAGCCACCTCTGAATTATATGTTAAATACAAAATAAGTTTGATGATTATAACAAATTGGTACTAGAAATTTATTTAATGGCTTTGTGTAGTTGAAGCAATTTATAAAATTCTTTTATTTCCCAGTAGGCATGGGACTTAAAAAAGACATCCAATATGTTCAAAAGACGTTCAAAACGCTTAAAAGGTACCTTTTTTTCGTCTTATGCCCAATGGGTTGGAATTAGCCTAATTTTGTCAGCATACTACGTCCAAACAAGAGCTTTAGATGTTATAGGTTTTCTTGATTCAAGTTTTTAAAAAAAAACTAAAAGAAACTTTTCTCTTTTTTATAGAGTTTTTAAAACTTATTTAATACTCTATTTGTAAAACTGAAGAACACCACTTTTGAGTCATTAGATCAACTTTGCTCAACTGCATTAACTTTACTTTAATGGAAAAGTTTTGAAAAAAAGCCTTAATTTAATATAGATCCTAACTCAAGAAAGAGTTTACAAATAAGAAAAATTGCCACTAAATGATCAGAACAGATCATATTATTTAACTATGATGTTCATTTCACCTAAACGATGTATTTATTTAAAAATTTATATTATTTGGACAAGAAATCATGATTTTAGAAAATAAAAATAAAAAGAATCTTTGGACTGTTTTTTTTAGTACGAATATTTTTATTTTGTGTTACTGCATGAATTTTTTTTTGGTCACTAGCATTTTACAACTATGAATGGAAAAACTTTGGATTTTTTTGTTGCAAAGATTGTATGCAATCACTTGCGATCAATATTCTTTATAACAAATATAATATACATAATTTATAGCAAATGTTTAAGCATTTGCAAGAAGGGCAACTAAGGAAGCTCTGCTATGATAAATGTCAATTTGTTTTGTTTTTAATTAAAAGTTTTGGAAAAATTAAATCCAGTAGAATTTTAAAAGCGTTAACTGACGCGGCATATACAATGGAGTTTGGAAAGATGTTCTAGTCAGGTACGATGCAATTACAGAGGAAGAATTTGCTTTGTCAACAGTTTTACTACTTAACAATGAAGACAGTGACATTGGCCACAGAGGCCTTTGGCTGGTTCTTAAATGTTTAGTACTGGAGCTAGTGAGTTAGGTTTACAAAGCATAACTTTATTAATGTTGTGGTATAGTTTGAAAAACTGCATTAGGTCACCCCTACGTCTCCTATTCTTAAGCGATTGAATGCTAATTGAGGCTAGTCTTTGGTGATAACTTAAAGGCTTGAGATGAAGTAAAAGCTTGGTGGTTCTTTGTTGCATTTTCTTAATTAAATATATGTTGCTGTTTATGCTGAGACTTTGTAATTGTAACTTAACTACGCTATGCCATTTATTTATAAAGATAATTAATATTAATTTTTAAATTGAACTCGCAATAAATGTAAAATATGAATCTTACAAGCTTGTGTTTACTATTTTCAAAATCTTTTCTTTTTTTCTATTTTTAAAACGTTTCTTTTGATAATATAATTTATTACATGATGGTGTAAGGATTTGTCCATAAAGAATGTCAAGCAGAATTTAAGTAATAATTAAAAGTAGAAGATTGTCTCTCTTACGCAGAGATTTTCATTAAGCATAAATTGCTATATAACTTTAAAAACCGCCCTTAATTCTTAATAACAAATAAATAATATACACTGATTAAAATAATATAAAAATATAGATTTCTTAGAATCAGAATTTAATTTGCCATGTTGTTGTGAAATCAACTATAATTTTTGTGTTGATTTCATATTCATCTTCAATAAATGTTACAGACAGTGTTTTATTTTTGGCACTTTCCAATCCATGCATGCAGTGCTGAAGTGAAGTAAAAGAGGAAAGAAAATAAGAAAAATAAAAAAAAGTGTCTGAAACCTAATAAAGAAAAACCATAAAAAGAAAGTCCTGCTATTCAAAAAGGTGCTGCTGTGGAAGCAAAAAAAAAAAAACCCCGCTGCTAGTTAAAACTTTGAAACTTTCTTTTGACAATTGAAAGTTTTTTTTGCTATATTTATTTTTTTACTATAAATATATACTGCAACTGTTTTGTTTCTTGAACTATGACATAGTTCAAGAAAAACATAATTAAAAAAAATTGTTAGGAGAAACTTTTTGGAAAAAGTTTTTTTAAAAGAATAACTTTTATGAATTTTTTCAGAACTCTTCAAAAGTATGTATTCAATAACATTTGTAGACTAAACCAGCTTATTTTGTAAAAAAGTCAAATTTGATTTTTTCTACCTTCAGGCGTTTTAAAAAATGGTTGCAGTATGGATGATACAACAAATATGTTTAAATGAGATAATTTGATGAAAATTTTAAAAGCTCTTAACAAAAGCCACTAAACCAAAAAAATTAAAAGTAATTGCAGTTAAGTGCACTTAAAAACCTTTATAGTGTATTGGTGTTTACAAAGAAATACTATATAAATCATTTTTTAATTTTAATATAAACTAATTCTTTTTTAAACTTTTATTGCGCTTAACCATCCCAATATAAAATATATATATATATATATATATATATATATATATATATATATACATATATATACATATATATATATATATATATATATATATATATATATATATATATATATATATATATATATATATATATATATATATATACATATATATACATATATATATATATATATATATATATATATATATATATATATATATATATAATATATATATATATATATATGTATATATATATATATATATATATATATATATATATATATATATATATATATATATATATATATATATGTAAATATATATACATATATATATATATATACATACATATATATATATATATATATATATATACATATATATATATATACATATATATATACATATATATATATATATATATATATATATACATATATATATATATATATATAAATTTTTTAATATATATATATATATATATATATATATATATATATATATATATATATATATATATATATATATATATATATATATATATATATATATATATACTAATGTTGTCTGAACAAAAAGCAAAACACAAACGTACATTAAGTAACTTACCTCTGAACTAACCCCATGAATGAATGAATTTTAAATTTGAAACAAATATATTCAGAGGATGTTAATTTATTATTAATAAAAACAATTTCAAAAATTTTTAAAGCCATTACTAAACTTACCAGAAAAATTATTAGCCAGGTCTTGTCTACCAATGTTGTTAAGTAATTTTACAAACTTATTGTAGTTATCTTTGGCAAGAATACGATGACGTTCTAAAGTTTGAATTAATTCAATAGGAGTTTTAATCTTTTCAAGAACACCATCACCAATTTTTTCTGAATAATAATACTTAATTGCTACAACATCTTCATCCAACAAACATTTTACAACATTAAGCATAAAATTTTTATATTTTTTATCATCCATTTCTTCAAAATAGAAATTTTATAATAAAAACTTCATACAACATTCAAAATACTAAAAAAAATTTTAATTTTTTTTTTTTTTTTTTATATATTTTTAAATTTCTTTTAAATTTGATTTTAATTTCACAGTAGAAAAATTATAAACTTTTATTTAAAAAGTCCAACAAATAAATGGCTAAAACCTGCTAATAATTAAAATAATAAAACAGTAACTTAAAAAAATATAATTTAAACATTATTAAATATAAATAAAATTTTGTAATTTATAGATGGGGTCAAATGGAATAGTTAAGGATTTTAATTATTTTTTACGGAAAAAAGATTTTGTTTCAATTTTTTTTTTAATTTGTAGAGAATATTGAGCTGTATTTGAATAAATAAAAATTAAAAAATAAAAAATTAAAGTTTTTTATAAAACTTTACTCAATAAAAAAAATATATTCAATTTTACACATACAATATAGGTGTAAAATGAAATAAATTTTATTTTAATCAAGAAAAAAACTTTAATTTTTTATATAAAAAATTTTAATATAATATCAATTTTTAATATATTAATTTTTAATATAATATTAATTTTTAATATATATTAATTTTTCATATAAAATTTTAATATAAAAAGGTTTTTTTATTTGATTGATTTTTTAATTGTTATTATTGATTGTTTTTTTTCAATTGTAATTGTTGATTGCTTTTCGTTTTTTTTTAATAAAGTATTGTTTTGATTACCTATACATTTACGTAATTCATTCTCCCCGTAGGCTACATACGGGGAGAATGAAATACTTACGTATTTGTTTTAATTACACATACATTACACGTAAGTGTAATTAAGAGCCATTATCTGAGAAATATAGGCAAAATCGGCAAAGTCTGGAAGTGATATCTTCAAAATCTCTTCATTTTCAGATATCTTATAAAACACAATGAAATTAGGCCACAGTTAAATTTTTTTTCGAAAACTCCCATTATTTGCGGAGATATGGGGGCTGAAATTTGGCCCATTTTGTAAAAATATTGGTGCATGGAACGGAATTACTACTTTTAGGGGCAATTTTAGCAATATGAATTTGAGAAACTCATTTATTTTTCTTATTTCTACTACTCTGAGTGGATTTCTCTGGTTAAAATAAAAATTCAAAATGTTTACATTTTTTATTGTCTAGAAATCACGGTTCAAAACCGCTAAATTTGAAATTTTACCCGTACTTTGACCATTTATATCTCCTAAGGCCATTACTTGCACATAATTTACTTAACTGCTTTTGAAAGCCAATAAGGTATACATTGAATTTATAGAAAAAAAATTATGAGTATGCAAGAGCCTGGGAAAGAGTAAGCTTCCAAAAATGAGTTTTCGCGGTTAATACGCTTTGTTAGATTACAAATAACAATCGTGGCCTTAGGTCTGCCATGAAATGTATAAGTTTTTTCGTTTCCTTTTACATGCGTCTTCCAATATCTGAAAAAAAATTCATGTGCTTAAGCGATAAAAAGCCTAGAGAAGTCCTAGAAATAGTCTAATTTTGCCACATTCTTAACCAACAAAATACCCTAGCAACGACATAGATATGCTTAGCAACGGCTTCTATAATTCGTTAATAATTAGTACTCTAATTAAAAATAAATAAAAAATACATTTTTATAACAAAAAACTGTATAAAAGCGCTTGATAAAAGTTATTTTCTAAGCTTCTTTAATGAGAAAAAGATCCAAACATCACACACTTTGAAGTGTTTATATCATTGTTAAAACAATTATGTAAATTTTGGATAAACGTTTTTTCAAATACAACTTGTTTTAGAAAGCAAACCAAATAAAGTTTTAAAGAATTTTATCTGTCAATCTGAATTTCTATGTTATACATATCGTCTATTGAGAGAGAAGAGTCCCCTCTTTAATTAGTTGGTGTTGGTGCATCAATCCTACAAATAACGTCAAGATATAAATATTGGAGAATATTTTCCTTGGTTGGCCACTTGAAACAGTTTTTTCCAGGTGTAGTAGAATATTCCATACAAGAAACATGAACATTGTCACAATTGACCTACAGGGTTAAGTTAAAAGTAAAACAACGTCTAATCATTGGTGCTTTCTGAATATTTCTTACATTTAAATGTTGTGGTTAATAAATTAATAATTATATAACTTAATAAAAAAGATCTAATACTCAAAAATTAAATATTTTGATGTTATAACGTCTTACACTTTGAATTATTGCAGGATACCACTGCATATTATATTCAATAGCAACCCAATCACCAATTTGAAAATCAGCTGCTAACTCCTTTGCTATGAGCTGAATATCGTTGTTTAAATCATCATCTTTATTTTGACTTGTATGTCTCGCATCATCAGTCAAATCAATCATGTCATCTGTTAGATTAGCATTTTCACAAAAAATGGTAACTAGCTTTCCTTCTCTTTTTTGTTTACTCCATCTAAAAAAATGTACTTGAAGCATGAAGGTAAATTCAAAATATTTATCTTAAAACTCAAGAAAAGAATAAAATTAAATTTTATATCATTCATACTTTGGGTATCAGTAAATATAGAAGTAAATTTACTCGCCTAGAGAATAATGATCGAATTTGTTGAGTTGTCACATATTCACTTGGCTTTAACTTTGTCCTCAGCTGCTGGTGAACCTGCTCTGGGCTCATTTTTTTCCCTTGTTCTTCTCCAGACATAAACATCTGCATTAACAATGTTTTCTGCTTTGAAGAATATCTGAACACTTTTCTTTTTGGTAATGCCCACCCAGTGATGTCTGTGAAGTTTTCAATCCCTTTAATGACAGATTGGGATGACGGCAGATAATCATAAGAATTTAGGTTTGAAATTTTCATTTTGTTGATATAAGATAGTTTTGCTCTGTCTACCATTGATTTCTTCACAGATTGAAAATTGTGGTTTTCTGATAACAAGTGTACTTCTAATGATTTATTGTCAAAAAATGAATCAGTGCAACCAAATTGTGTACAAAACTTTAAAGTGTTAAATCTTCTATCAACACGTGGTTTTTTGGAAATTGTTGGGGCAGTATAAATTTTGCAAGTCGAACTAAAGGGCTTAACAATTTCAACTGAAGTATGGAATGTCACATTTGTATAGTTCCATTTTTTACCTTTACCAATTCGGAAGTATCTCCACATTATCATGTGATCAGGGAAAAACTGAAAAGAATGATAACTGCTTATGTTGGGAATCAGATTTTTCCTGATAAAATAGAGGCTTTGGAATTTATTATAACTACAGCAACATCAGCGTTTTGAATTCCTTTACCATTATGAAGAGCCTCATAAAGATCTTCTGCAGTCAATAAATTGTTTCTTGCGTCAACAAAACTCCTAATGACACATTTCGCTCCTGCTGACTCTCTATCGCATTGATCTTTTCCACGCGAAGGCTCGTTGTAATCATACCTTTTAAGGAAAAATTGTTTTGCTTTGCAAACATTGTAAAGGGCTTCTAAGTAGAATTTTCCATGATAAGATGATGCATTATCTGACTTAGCATAAAAATTCTTTAAATAAGGAAAATCATTTTTAACTTTGGCCAAAACAACATCAGCGAGACAGAGTACATCAACAAGGCTTTGCTCACATCTATATACAGCAGTAAAATACACTTTTTTTTTCATTCGACCATTTTCATAGAAGAAGAAGACATCAACATGTAGAGTCATTCCTTTTTTCCCAAAATATTCTTTTTGGCTTTCACGGAATTTAGCGGGCAATATTTTTTGACAAAAATCCTTGAGCCAAAAACCTGTTTCCTCATCAAGTTACTCAAAAGCCATTATTTTGGCCATTTTTTGCTGCGCATCACGAATTTGATGTTTCATATAGGCTTCAACATCTTCTGTAGCCACATTTAAATCATATAGTAGATCTTCATCTTCACTTTGTATAACCAACTCACGAACCTGATTGATTACTGAAATGAGGTCAGTACAGTCAATGCATTGTTCATCGTCAGCGGTTATGTTTGATTGGTTTAAGTCTGGATCTATATCCGAAAGGGCAAATGAAGTTGAGTGACTATGCAAAGTTGAATTTTCACTACATTTGGAAGGATAATTACTCTTCAGATACCTTTTACCTTTTTCAAGAAACTTAGTAACATTTTTATATTTCCACTTCTCAGAAATGGCAATTAATGTTTGGAAACCGTTCATGCCAGCTGCTGTAACATCATCAAGACCAGCTAAAGATTTCCTTTGAGAAGGTTTTATTCCACAAAGAATTCTCTATAAAGAACTATCTGACATAGGGACATAATTAGTTTCTAGGCAAATTTCTTTATAAAATGTGATTGTATGGCTAAACTTCATCATCAAAATGGCATTAGCCACTTTTTGTTTCTCTCCGTTGTCAAACTTTATTTTATTTATACCATATGCTACATCTTAAAGCAGACCTCGAGAAAATAAAAATTCCAAAAAATGTTCAATTTTTTCTTGAGGCATTCGGCATATTTTTACCTTACCCTTCTTTGGTATGGAAAGTCCAATGTTTTCTTTCTGCAACTTGCGTCCTTTTTCTATTTGATGTTTTTTGCAATCAAAGACTTTCATTAATGTCTCTTTAGTGTACTTATTATGATTAACAACTGAAAGCAAAAGAATTTTTCCTAAAGAATCGCTTTCTTGGAACATCTTAACTTGTACAATTAGGTCTTCTGGAACCATTTCAGTTGCAACATTTTCATCTTCACTGTTTAATACTTGGGTTATAAGTGCTTCTGATTGACCAGGTGCAATTGCTTCAGCAAATATCTTCTCGAGCTGCACTTTACATTTCTCAAATTTTTTTTTAACTTTCTGTTTAGTTCCTTGTGTTAAGTCTTCTATTCGCTTTTGCGTTATGTGAAAAGACAATGGACTTGCTCCTAGTGCTTCACACAAAGAACTAGCTTTTAATTTTGATTTTTTCGATGGTCTTATCTGAAATGATTGCTAAATCTGGAACATAAACTTTATCAACATAAGAACTAGACTTTACTGTTGG